CAGTAGCTGAACCATCTTTAAAAGTTAACGATCTTATAGATCGTCGGACGAACTTTTGGAATATTGATCTCTTAAGAGCGATCTTTGATCCAGAAGATGTCGCGCTAATAAGCGCCATACACGTGGGTGCGCCAACAAAGGAAGACTCTTTGGGTTGGCATTTTACAAAATCCGGAAAATATACAGTCAAATCGGGATATCATACCACTCAGTTAGAAAAGCTGGAGACCAATTTAACCTTTTTTGGCCCTGATATCAACTCGTTAAAAGCACATTCTTGGCAAGTGCACTGTCCACCTAAGATACGCCACTTCTTGTGGCAAATCTTAACAGGTTGTGTACCGATTACGGAAAATTTGCGGAGAAGAGGAATTGATTGTGACACGGGCTGTGCAAGATGTGGCGCACCTGAGGAAACGATCAATCATACCCTCTTTCAGTGTCATCCGGCACGACAGATTTGGGCGCTTTCACAGATTCCTACGGCTATTGGGATTTTTCCCACAGAATCTAATTTTGCGAATTTGGATCACTTATTTTGGAGAATACCTTCAGAATTTGATTCGTCAGCCTTCCCGTGGATTATCTGGTATATTTGGAAAGCAAGGAACGAAAAAATCTTTGAAAACATAGATAAAGACCCAATAGAGGTATTACGATTAGCGGAAAAAGAGGCACAATTGTGGCAATCAGCTCAAATTGAGCTCCATAATGAAAATCATGGTTATGTGGATTTGGTAAATCGAATTCGAGTGAGGGATGTTTCACTTGACTCGAATTATTCCGGATACCGTTATTTTGTGGATGGATCATGGAAAGAAAGTGACAAGTTCTCCGGTACAGGGTGGTTCTGTACATCGTCAAATGGAGAGCCGCCAACCATGGGAGCTGCGAACCTCCGTAGAAGTCTATCTCCACTACATGCCGAAGTCGAGGCCCTTCTATGGGCGATGAAGTGTATGATTGGTGCAGATAATCAAGAGGTAGCATTCTTTACAGACTGTTCAGACCTGGTGAAGATGGTGTCTTCTCCAACCGAATGGCCGGCGTTTTCAGTGTACTTGGAGGAATTTCAGAGCGACAAGGAGGAGTTTTCATCTTTTTCTTTATCTTTAATTTCTCGTAGGGCTAATGTTAAAGCGGATAATCTGGCACGAAAAGTTCGTACAGAACCGCTTCATATCACCTATGTAAATAACATTCCTCAAGAATGGCTCTTTTGAGCTTTAATTAATTTCGGATGACAAAAAAAAATAGTATGGTTATATTTAATTTAATACTGTGCATATATGAAAATACTAAATCGGTATTTACACAAATTTAGTTTTATTATCGCAAAATTGGTAACATCGTTAATAAATATTAATCATAGGATTAATTTTGATTTAGTCAATATTCGAATAACTTGTATGTAACTTCATAAATCTATATATTTAACATGACACATCATTTTTAGTCAACATAACACGTATCATATGTTGAGGTTAAATTCTTAGAAGTAAAAATACATATAGTATAATAAAACAATACAATGTTCTTTTATTTATTATCTGTCTTTTTTTCTATTCATTCTTGACTTCAGTTACTCCAATCCTATATATAAAAGAAGGTTATCTCTCTCCATCTATTTGACACGTCAGCATTTATTTGACTGCCACGTGTCATAAAGTTTTTTTTTTTGTTTTTTTTTTCTCAAATAAATCACAATGCTTAGCATTACCACGTAACCTTCGATTCACCTTCTGCCGTTTCTTTTCCGCCTCCATTACTCTCAACCTGCAGTTTGACTGATGAAGAGATCGATTTCGTTCGCGATTCGTTGCCTCGATGTGAGGTATAACAAAATCTCTCCTGCCCAAAGATTCTATTTTTGCATTGTTTTTACTCTTTTGGAATTTTCAAAATCAGGAAGCTTTCTGTGATTATCTTCGAAGACTTGATTATTCTGACATTGAAGTGTATGCCATTTCAGAAGGATCAGTTTTTTTCCCTTGAAGTTCCTTTACTCAGAATTGAAGGTCATGTTGTGAGTTTATTATATCTTTCTGACTGTCTCTAACTATCATAATTGAAATGATCAGTTTATGATTTCTCTTGTGCTTACTTAGGTGTTGCAATTGTTGGAAACTCCATTGCTTAATCTCATCAATTACGCATCTTTGATTGCTACAAATGCAGCAAGACATCGATTCAGACGGAAACGAAATTGGCTCCGAGTAATTGAGATTGTGAATTGAAATCTGCCTCTTTGGATTTCTTCAGTCTCTCTAAACCTTAATCTTCGTTCTCCCAGTTTCGAAATTCAAGTTCCAAGGTTTGCATCGGTATTTTATGTTCCCTCTGATTTTTGATGCGACTTCTTTTTGTTCGGATTAGTGATGGGATATTTGCTTGCTTTTTATGTGGGTTTTGATTCGTTTTTGGTTTCTGAGAGGAATGGTTCAAAAGTTTTTGTGAGTTGATTTGAAAGTTTGATAGTTTACTTGGGTATTGTTGTTTTTGTCGCCACTAGGTTCAACTTTGAAGAAGCTAAATGTCCTTAATTTGTGAAGGAGGAGACCCTAAGGGCACCACTCACTCACTGAAGCTGGAAATTTCAAGTGGAGCTGTGTCAAGGAAAAAAAACATAAAAGGCAAATCAATCGCCGCAGGGGAACGAACGTTCCATATGTAGAGCTTTGTCGTTACACCGTTTGTCACTTCTTCTCCTCATATATTTTTTTAATCTCTGTGGATGTCGGAATCCGCAATACAAGTTTTATGATGTATATCGGATCGTCTAGTCTAGCTAATTCGAACAACAATCGTCAAAAGAAAACAAGAGAGTCAAGTGTGTGTATCTGTTTATTGATCAAGAAAAAAAAGCCTCTCATTACAATGGTTTTTGTCTCCTATTTATAATTACATGATTTGAAACCGAAGTCGCTCGTCAAGCCGCAGATCTCGCCTCCATTATTGCTTCCGTTTCGAATCTTCCCGATCTCGCACATCCCGTACAATCCGCCTTTCATTTAACTCGCGGGATCTCGCCGTTTTACTCGAACTGGGCTTGAACTTATTGGGCCGCTCTTTTCGTCCCCTGGACCGGGCCGACGGCCCATTTCGTCTCACTGATCCACTATCTTTCCGGGCCGGATCCGAACTGCGGGATCCGACACCAACAGTTTGCCCCCCAAGTGTTCCGAAGTATTAACTTCGGGATACTTTAAATAACAAACTCTTCTCGGGCTCGGAGATTTCGTCATTAATTCCGCTTTCCCCGGGATTTGGTTCCTCGACCGAAGTGACGTTTCGAGATCTTTAGGATATAAATTTTCCCGCGGATCGAGGGATTCTTCTCGGGATGAGGGCGGCGTTTCGAGTTCCTAGGGCTTCCATATTCCCGCCAGAGATTCCTATTAATACTTGATTGGACTCTTCGGGTTTTGCACAACCGCTTCAAGCTCGCTCACCTTCGTCGTCTGCTTATTTAAGGTACTGAACCTTCTCCTCTTTTTTCTCTTAACACTCGCGATTACGCTTTAGTTCTTGCTACTTAGTTCCGGATTCGTGTTAGTTCACCGCTCTAGATTAGTTCCGTGCTAGATTTAGGCCAGAGATCTAAAAGATTTCTTAGATTTTCAGCCCTCTGCTCCGAAATTGTTCGTTGTTCTTCAACTCCTCCGCCGTGTTCTTGATATTCCGTTGAATCGCAACCGTTTTCCGAAGAACGTCAACCGCTTAGTCTTTCCGGTTTATGGGTTTTCACGAAGATCTTCGAAGTTTGCTCAAGCGTGTTCTTGAGCTGTTCTTGAAATATCTTCCCAAATCCCTGGCGCCAGATCTTGTTTCGTCTCTACATCTTCCCTAATTACGTTATGGCTCCGAAGCGAAGCAGGAAGATCCAGAATGAGACTCATATCATGGAAGGCGAGTTCGGGAAGTATTTTTCTTCGAATCTCGACAATAAAAAGCTGGCTCTGCTGAAAGGTGCCTGCCAGATCCCTCGTCGAGTGTCCTTGATTACTCCAGGTCCGACAGATTCTCCGGAGTCTCCACCTACCGGTCACACTTGCGCTTTTGAAATTTTCTTTTCGGAATGCGGGCTATCTTTTCCGCTTCCCGGCCTTTTAGTCGAATTGATGCACGAGTTCGGAATCGCACTTCCTCAACTATGTCCAAATGTAGTTAGGACCGTCCTGTGCCTCCAGACCCTCGCAGAGGAAAATGGATACCGTATCACGCTATCCGACATACTCCATCTTTATACAGTAAAGAAGGGGCGAACTCCGGGGACGTTTTTCCTCAGTCCTCGGAGTAAATTCAGAGTCTTCGGGGATTTTCCCGAAAAGGACGAGCAATGGAGAATGTCCTACTTCTTCTTCGCTGTAGACGAATTTTCTTATGGTCCAAACACGGCTTATTTCGTTCGTGAATGGACTCGTCGTCCCGGTAGATAGCTCTTTAGGTTTTTCACTGCTTTTCACTCGTCTCTTTTTTCTTTCTAATCCGTCAATGTTTTTGCTTTTGCAGCTAAACCTCCGAAGAAAACGCTTTCTCATACTTTTGCGGGACAATTCGTAAAGATTTGCAATAGCAGCGACCTGTCGTGGGAATTGTTCACTTGCGAACGCATCCGGAGTTCGTGTGCTCGAATTGTCTCGCGATCCGACCTCATTTCCTCCACTCCTCCCTCCTCCCCTACTGTCGCCACTAACATGTCTCCGCTTTCCTACCGCGAAGAGAAGAGGCTCCAAAAGGAAAGGGAAAAAGAGAGAGAAGCGAGAGAGAAAGAAGATAAGGCCAGGATGGTGAAGGCCTTGGATGAAGGGAAATCCAGATCTTCATCTGGTAAAGGGAAGAACTCGGGTACCGTAGATCCGATTTCCGAATCGAAGACATCTGATCTCCGTGATCTGAAGAAGGTGTCTTCGGGAAAAGACCTAATCCGGATCTCGGATTCTCGCTCCTCCCGATCTTCTCGGGAAAAAGAAACTTCCGAAGGAGGTCATAGTGCAACCTCCTCAAGGAAACGCAGGAACGAGGAAACTGAAGTTCCTTCCCTCCAACGCAAGAGTCGTTCTCGTCTGAACGACGAGAAAAATCCTTCCGAGGATGCTGGGACCAGTCTGGGATCAAAACCAGAAGAAAAAGAAGATCCACAACGGGCCCCGGAGTCCGACTTGCCAACTCAGCTTCTTGTCCTGCCTTCGCGGGACTCTGAGAACCGGGAATCCGTCCGTCAGGAGATTCCGATCCCCACTGGTAAGTAGAGTGACTTCGTATTTCTATCTCGCTACGAGTTCATTTTGATGTTTTATTTTATTTTAACAGCTCCTCCGAAGTCACCAGCTGATTTCATGAGGAACTTTACTCCTGTTGGGATGAGGATTCCTCCCTTTAGTGACTTGAAGGAGGTCAACAGAGCGAACTACTTTCGCTTCGCTGATAAACTCGGAGAGGTAATTCTTTGAACTCTTCTCCTCCTTTCATAGAAATAAGAACTTTTCTTCCCGTCCTCATGAATCTTCGTTTTGACAGTTAATGCTCGAGTACAACACCACCTTCTCCTGCCACGAGTCCCAGCTCTTTCCTGTTAACGAGCTGGATGGTCTCAGGGCCCGGGTCGCCGAACTCGAAGAAGAAGTTCGTCAACTCAAGGAGATGGAGGAAGAAAATGCCAGGGCGGTGGCAAAGGCAAACGAGATCCGGGAGCGAATGCTGGAGGCCGAAGGTCGCTGCAACCTTCTTGACATTGCCAAGACTGATCTTTCCGAGAAGCTGAAGATCGGGAAGAACCTGTATCTCGAGGCATGTGAAAAGATTACCTCGCTGGAAGCTGAAGTTAAGCGAAGCGAGGAATGGTGCAAGATCGCTGCTGAGAAACGGGACGAGGAGCTCGCAGCAGCAAAAAAAGATGAAAGGTTGAGGCTTCGTGAACTCTATAGCGGACTCGCCTCGAAGCATGAGACCTACTACCAGGCCATCAGTGATAATGAGATTATTGGGACGCGTCTTGCCGAAACTCGGGCGAACCGAGAGCTTCTTGAGGAGATTCTGAAGGGAGAGATTCCGGACTTAAAAGCCGAACTAGAGTCGGTAAAGAAAGACGAGGAAGAGGCTGAGAAGAAAGCTCGCGAGGTAAGCGCTCTCAGACCTCAACCAAATGAGTTCGCTCATCTCTTTGTTGCGACTCCCCCAGAGCCCGTGCAAGAGACATCTCTTCCCGAAGATGATGTCGCCATTGATGAGTTCGGAACTAATAAAGGTTTCATGACTGGCCAGGACTTCGAAGCCGCCGTTCTGCCCGAGGAGATGCAGCAAGATCCCGACGTCAAGGGTCAATGATCTGGTTCCGGGGTTGTGATGGCTAGTGCCCCCCTTTGTTGTTTTTATTTTTTAAACCCAAAACCTATTTATCGTTTTTTTTGAAGACTTGAATATTTCCCCTCTATTTTTATATAAGTCCTTTTGAACTTTAAATCCGGAGTATTCGAGAAATTTGAATACCTCGTACGAAAAATTAAGAAATACTTAAGATTTCAACGAGATACGCAAGTTACATGAACTCAGAATTCTTTCTTCAAAGGATAAGGGAAAAATACTAAGAACGAGAGTTAAGTGGGTGTTCTTAATATTAAAAATGAGAATCGGGACTCGGAGTCCGCAGAAATCCCTAGTCTGTGTTGAACCAGACCCTTTTTTGCTAAGTAAAACTTAGGCTTATCTTTCAAGAATGACCAGAGGTCTGAGCTCGGTTTCGAGAAAAAGTAGTTACGAGGTTCTTCTCGGTTTCACAGATTGCGAGATTATTCTCGGCTTCTTTGAAAGATGTTTAGAAGAATATAAACATTTTATTTGATTTAGAGACTGCACTCGAAGTTCGAGCTGCCTACGTACCCAAAGGTGGGGATCAAGTCTATCGTAGTTCGATTTACAATAATGAAAATAATAAAATACTGAAATAAAGTATCTCTTCAGATGAATGGAATTCCAAGCTCTTCGGACTGCTTTTCCTTCCATGTTTTCAAGGCGATAAACTCCGTTGCGAACTACCTGAGTAATTCGATAAGGACCTTCCCAGTTAATACCTAGCTTTCCAGCTCCATCTTCGGTAGTATTTTGCTGAACTTTGCGCAATACCAAGGTTCCAACGTCGAAGTGTCGACTTCGGACAGTCGAATTATAGTATCGAGCTGCGGCATTCTTGTAATTTTGCATTCGAATCAAAGCTCGATCACGCCGCTCCTCAATGGTATCAATAACGTCAACCATCATTTCGCTATTTGCTGCCTCGTTCTGCGGGTTATTCATCCGTCTCGGACTTGGCACAAATATTTCAGCAGGGATTACAGCCTCCATTCCATAAACTAATGAAAATGGTGTTTCACCTGTTGCACGCCTAGGAGTAGTGCGAATTGCCCAGAGAACACTTTGTAGTTCATTAAACCACGCTCCTTTGTGCGACTTAAGTTTTTTCTTCAAAGTGGACAAAACAGTTTTGTTCATTGCTTCAGCTTGACCATTACCCTGCGGGTAACGAGGCGTTGATCGACTGAGTCTGATTTGCCATTCTTCGCAAAAAGATTCGAATTGCCGCGAAATGAATTGAGGTCCGTTATCAGTAACGATCTCGTATGGCAAACCGTGCCTACAAATGATGTCCTGCCAAATGAATTTGCGAACTTGAACCTGAGTTATGTTTACGTAGGCTGCCGCTTCTACCCACTTCGAGAAATAATCGGTAAGAACCAGGACAAATTTCACCCCGCGCGTAGAAACATGAAGAGGCCCAATAATATCCATAGACCATTTCATAAACGGATAAGGCGAAGAGACTGATGATAATGGCTCGGTGGGTTGGTGAATTGAAGGTGCGTGCTTCTGGCACTGCTCGCATTTCCGCGCATACTCCTCGCAATCCGCGATTAATGTGGGCCAGAAATATCCGTACTTTCTTACTTTATAGGCCAAAGAGCGACCTCCGGAGTGATTTCCGCATACTCCGTCATGAATCTCTTTCACCACAGTACGGACCTGCTGTCCGAAAATACAGATCATGTCAGGACCCGAGATGCTTCTTCTGTAGAGGATGTCGCTCGAAATGCAGAAACGAGCACTTTTAGCTTTCAGTCTCCGTGCCTCCCACTTATCCGTGGGGAGAGTACCATTAAGGATGTATTCTCTGATGGGTATCCGCCAGTCTACCCCCCAATTCGGAAGCGGTAGCGCTGGTGGTACTGGTTCCGGATTTAGCGGTGTTCCGATTAGTGATTCTACTTCGGAGTTCTGCTCAGTCTCCTCGACCCTTTGTGGTTCTTGTTCCACACTCATCCTTCTTTGCATAGACCGTGTAGTCACAAAGTTCAGCTCTCCGGTGGCTATACTGGGATGTTCAATTACTTCGACAGGGATCATTCGGCTCACTGTTACTTCGGAACTCGACGCCAACGCCGCCAACGCATCTGCCGCTGAGTTCTCACTTCGCGGAATTCTAGCGAGTTCGAAACTTAGAAACTTTTTACTCAATTCCTGAACCTTAGCGAGGTAAGCTTCCATTCTACCATCTTTTGCTTCATAATCACCGGAAAATTGATTAGCAACGAGCTGCGAGTCGCAAAATGCCCGTAATTTTGTGACACCTATCCCAACCGCTAGACGAAGTCCTGCAAGGAGAGACTCGTACTCCGCCTCGTTATTCGACGCATTAAATGCGAGACGAAATGACTGTTCAATTACCTCACCATACGGGGATTGTAATCGGATACCGATCCCGGAACCCTGTTTTGAGGACGCGCCGTCCACATGAAGTATCCAAGGTCCTTCATTTTCTTTGACTTCCACGGAGTCCAGAGGTAGTTCGATCAGAAAATCTGCGAGGACTTGAGATTTCAAGCTTGTCCTTATTCGGAACTGGACATCATACTCGCTTAGCTCAATTGCCCATTTAACCAATCTTCCTGACTGACTCGGACTATGCAAAATTGCCCTTAAAGGTTGCGTGGTTAGGATAATAACCGTATGAGATTGAAAATACGGTCTTAGTTTCCGAGCCGAAGTAATTACTGCCAGAGCTAGCTTTTCTATCATCGGATATCTTGACTCCGCTCCCGAAAAAGACTTGCTTACATAGAAAATCGGTCTTTCCTCGTTCCGATCCAATCGCACTAACACTCCACTTACTGCGCTGTCGGAAACCGATACGTACAAGAAAAGCTCTTCTCCGAACTCGGGTTTTGCTAACACAGGAGGTTTGGACAAATAATCTTTTAGATTTTTGAAAGCCTTTTCGCAATTCTCATCCCAGATGAAATTCTTGTTTGCTTTTCGGAGCAGATCATAGAATGGAAGACACCTATCGGTTGACCTCGAGATGAACCGGTTCAAGGCTGCTATCCGCCCTGTGAGTCGCTGAACTTCCCGGATGTTGCGAGGCGAAGTCATTGCCAGAAAAGCGTTCAACTGTCGCGGATTAGCTTCGAGTCCCCGCTCTGTGACAATGTAACCCAAAAACTCTCCCGAAGGAACTGCAAAAGTGCACTTGGTCGGGTTCAGCTTCATTCCGAACTTATTCAAAATTGCGAAGCACTGCTCTAGATGCTCAATATGCGAAGTGCTTGATATTGACTTTACCAGCATATCGTCAATATACACTTCCATCGTTTTACCGAGGAGATCTTTGAACATCATATTCACCAACCGTTGATAAGTGGCTCCGGCATTTTTCAACCCGAACGGCATGACTATATAACAGTAAGTTCCACGGTCCGTGATGAAAGCTGTCTTTTCCTGATCTTCCGGATTCATCAAAATCTGATTATACCCGGAAAAAGCATCCATAAAGGACATCATTTCGTGGCCCGTAGTTGACTCCACAAGTCGGTCGATGTGCGGAAGTGGGAAACTATCTTTAGGATAGGCTTTATTGAGATCGGTAAAATCTACGCAAACCCGCCATTTCCCATTTTTCTTCTTGACTACAACAGGGTTCGCCAACCAGTCCGGACATTTGACCTCGCGAATCAAACCGGCATCGAGCAGGCGCTGAACTTCGGCATTTACCGCCTCGGCTCGGTCTGGACCGAGTTTCCTGCGCTTTTGTTTTACTGGCTTGAAAGTCGGGTCAATGTTGAGCTCATGCGAAATGACCTTTGTATCGATCCCAGTCATCTCCTCAATTTTCCAGGCGAAGGTTCTTTGATTCCTTTTTAGGAAAGTTATCAGTTCGGCTCGGAGTGTTTCGCTTAATCCCGCTCCTATTTTCACAGTTTGATCTAGATACTCCTCATTAACTACCACTGGCTCCACGAGGTCACTGCTTATTTTTTTGACGGGATTTGCAGGCACCTCGAGCTGTGGTTGCTATTGAATTTTAAGCTTATGACTGGACATGTAACACATCCTCGCAGCTCGCTGACTTCCCAGGATTTGCTTCGCTCCGGACTTCGTAGGGAATTTCAAGCATTGATGATACGTTGAAGGTACTGCTTTCATCTCATAAATCCAGGATGTTCCCAAGATAACATTATAAGCAGCCGGACGATCGAACACCGTAAACTCAGTCATTTTGACTATGCCTTCTGCGCATACCGGGAGCACAATCGTTCCTAATGACATTGAAGTTTCGCTAGTAAAGGAAACCAAAGGCGATGGTGGCCCCCTTATATCTCGCTTCGATATCCCCATTCTTGTCAAAGTATCGAGGAAGATTAAATCCACCGAACTCCCAGTATCAATGAGAACCCGAGATACTTCGCAATGCGCAATATCGAGTGTTATGACCAGAGCGTCATCGTGTGGTTTGTCAAGTTGACTGGTTTCGCTTTCGGAGAATGTTACTTCGGGTAACTGTTCCTCAGTAAGCCTGGCCTTCTTGATAATCGGGGGGGTTGCCCTCCGTTCGTGTTGCTTGATTGCACTTATGGAATCCCGAAAGAGCTTAGATCCCCCCATAATCACCTGGATTTGCTTCTTCGGTCCTTTAAAAACATTAGGGGACTGGATCCTTTTGGTTTTCTTGCTGGGAGGAGACGGTTCCTCTGTTGGTACTGTACGTTCCGACGGATGAGTTGGTTCGAGCTCCGAAACGTCGATTTCGGCTATTTCCCCAGATGCGAACTTGGCAGCCAGTAACCTTCCTAGAGCCTTGCAATCTTTCGTAGCATGCCCATTGACTTTGTGGATCTCGCAGTAGGCGTTTGGGTCACGAATCCACTTGTTACTCGGGAAAGCGCCGTTTTTGCTTTTTGGCGAGAAAGACTGCTTCGCAGGCGAATTCTTCGGAGAAACCTTTGGCTCCTCCCGACCTACTGAGAATGTGCTAGCTCCAGGCTTTCGAACTTCAGGTTGAACAGGCTTCTTCTGAGGAAGAAGTTGAGCAGGTTTTGGAGCTGCCTTGAACTTTTTTGCTAGAGCGGCCCGCTCTTCTTCCGCGTTTATCCAGTTCGTTGCCCGATGGAGGGCGTCTTGAATAGTGGCTGGTCGGTTAACAACCAACTCTTCCCGGAAACGGGATTCGTGCCATAAACCATTCTTAAGTGCAGCAATTGCTGCGGAATCAGACAGGTTTGGGATCTGGACCATAATCTCTTTAAAGGAGGTGATGTAAGTCCGGAGCGGCTCTCCGGCTCCCTGTGAGAGGTTCCACAGCTGGGCATCAGTTACATCGCTCTTGATGAAGTATCCGTACTGCATGATGAAAGCAGTGGATAGTTGCTTGAAGCTATCGATCGATCCTTCTTCTAGTTGAGTAAACCAGGTCAAAGCCGGCCCGGATAGGTTCTCGGCGAAGAGCTTGCATAAGCCTGCGTCTACTTCGTTGGGCTCCAAATGTACCCGACCTGCGGTCACCTGAAAAGACGCTAAAAATTCTTTGGGATCTCCCTTACCATCGTACCCCGGAAGTTTTACCTTCCTTTGGTCTCGAATTCGCAGGGCTACAATTCGTGGAGTAAAAGGAGTCCTTCTCGTCTCCTCGATCACTCTATCGACTTCGGGAGCCGAACTGGTGGCTTGGTGAACCCTCGAACTCATTTCCCGAATCTGATTTTGTAAGCTCTGGATTTCCGGGCTGAATGGAAGGTGAGGCGGATGGGACTCGGTTTGAGGATGGCGCGGGGTGCTGCCAAGATGAATGGGGAGAGGTGTTCTGGATGGAACAAAAGGACCGCCGGCCGAATTTGGAGGTGCTTGAGCCTGACGGGATCCATCTCCAGGTTCACTCTGAGAGCCAAGAGGCAAAGAAGATGGGAGTGCGTTGTTCGGGGAAAAGAGTCTAGGATCTTGAACCTCCGAAACGTTTGGACCATGAAAGTCCAAATGGCCGCGAGGTCCGCTGGTCCGCAAAGTTCCTGCAAGAAATGTATCAACCCGATCCGCATAAGCATTATGGGCTGACCTGATTTCGGAACAACTCGCTGTGAGGACTGCGATTTGGCTGCCGCTTTGCTCTTCAAATGCTGAAAGCTTCTCAGACAACGCAGTGGTGGCGAGCTGCTGCTGGTCGGTCTTCTCGGACAGATCTTTAAGCAACTTCTTGATCTCGTCGAGGACTGAAGCCGGATCCGCTACGTCTGACATCTTTCCGATTGATATTCTAGAGTAAAAGACTAGAAATCCCCTCCTTATAGCGCCAAATTGTGGATGTCGGAATCCGCAATACAAGTTTTATGATGTATATCGGATCGTCTAGTCTAGCTAATTCGAACAACAATCGTCAAAAGAAAACAAGAGAGTCAAGTGTGTGTATCTGTTTATTGATCAAGAAAAAAAAGCCTCTCATTACAATGGTTTTTGTCTCCTATTTATAATTACATGATTTGAAACCGAAGTCGCTCGTCAAGCCGCAGATCTCGCCTCCATTATTGCTTCCGTTTCGAATCTTCCCGATCTCGCATATCCCGTACAATCCGCCTTTCATTTAACTCGCGGGATCTCGCCGTTTTACTCGAACTGGGCTTGAACTTATTGGGCCGCTCTTTTCGTCCCCTGGACCGGGCCGACGGCCCATTTCGTCTCACTGATCCACTATCTTTCCGGGCCGGATCCGAACTGCGGGATCCGACACCAACAATCTCCATTATGCTTCCCCAAGTAGAACCTAAATAGCAAAACCTCTTTAGCTATTCACGTTCGATTAAATTTTGTATGTTATTCTTCTCTCTTCTTCGTTTTTGTTTCTTAGATTAAGTTTCACTTTTTCTATCTAAAAGTTGGTTTGATTGATCAGGTGACGTTTAAGGAAGCGGACACAGCGATGAGGGCGTGTCAGAATATGAATCCTTAAAAATGATTCAAGATTCTTTTAAACTAAATACTTAAAAATGATTGTTACTTCAAAACAGTTGTATAGAGATTGCTTTAGAGATGGCATAGCAGTGACAAGGTGTATTAAGCTGAAACACTAGAGTACTAAGGCATATGAGTAGTAAGGTTTAACACAAAATTTGTCTCAACAAATAGAAGTTTTATCAAGCTAAGGCATATGCATTTGGTCGTGTTCATCGATTCGAAACACATTTGTGCAAACGTTAGATAATATCTAAAGATAAGTTCTATTACATCCACAGTTTTTTGTGTGTGATATTTTAATTCATTATGCAACTCTCGACTCAAAATGTTATTTAACAATCTTTTTTGGTTTAATATTGTTAATAGCATTTAACAAATGACATATTTCGTATTGGCTTTTACAAAATTGTTAATTTACAAAAATTAGAAACAATCGGAAAAAAAAACCCTGCGTGGGTATTCACCTAGTGTTTTTAAAAACTTGAAAGATGAGAACAAATCAAAAGAGGAAGATTCTACATTTTTTTCTTCTCCTGCAAGAAATTAAAGAAAATTTATTAAAGATCTTAGATATTATATTTGTTAAAATCAAAATCAGAAAGAAAAGCATACATAGAAAACATTAAACATGAAAATAAAAAAAAAAAACATATATGATGCAAACAATAACAAAACTTCAACCTTATAAAAATCGTAATTATTAAAATTGTTTATAAAATTTTTTTAAAATAACAAAATTCATTATTCTTAGCACCTTCCAAAAAAAAATTGGGGAAAAAATCATGTCAACGTTTAAAAATAAATAAATTGGACTTTAAAAAAAAACATATCTAATGATAAACCACAAACTTTTGATTTTATAAAATATAAATTTTTACCTTTATTCTTAGAAATCTAAATTCTTCTAAAATTATGTTCTAAAAACAACAGAAAAATTAATGACACCTTTAACAATAAAAATGAATTTTTTTCTATCAAACTTTAGAGGCTTAACTCGCTCGCTCTAACGCATCACCTCGATGTTCATGACGAAGATGATAGTCTTTTTTAGTTTAGCTCGTTAAGAAATCTGTAGCACAATTAAAAAAAGATAGAGATTAGCAAAATTTTAGTAAAATTTAGTTATTAGATTATTTACATATAATGAATCTAAAACCCAGTTTGACCATAATCAAAAACGAAAAATACATACTTTTCGATGCACTGATCCCACTCTTAGTTGCCGTGAATGGCCGGTTACAATTGAACTGCAAAAAACAATACGAAATATATATTAGTGATACATATTTTGAAGAAATCTAGAATTTTCTAGTTGTAGAGAATTGAAAAGAAGAAAAAAAAAACAATAAATATTTTAGCTAGAGAAAGAAACAACAAAGAAAGAACAAAGAAAGAGAAATCATCCAAGTTTTGTGTTTGGCGATGGTAAATGGAGTTTAGGTGTTTAGTATTTATAGGAAAACTAATTAGGTTTCGCTAATTCATAGAAATCTTCGGAAAAAAAAATAATAACTGCCACAAGATATCAGGGAGTAAATCTTTTATATTGTTAATTGGAATATGCTAGGATTATGCATTTATTTGAGTATTTAATATATTTCTATAATTCGTTGGGGATTTAAATATTAACTAACCCTAATTGTGTCGTTAAAGATAATATGTTGAGATTTTGGCAAGTTTGTTAAACGTGTAATCTTTAATTCAAATATTTAATGCTAATTCGCGAATAAAAAATTGAGATATTCTCTAAATTTTATACCAACTATTATTGGAAATGATTGATGACACAATTGCGATTTGGTAATATGCTATTTATTTAGATTAGTTGGTGCAATTAGTTACCTATTAACGTTATTTTAGGGATTCGCTTTTAGAATAATATAGATTTTATAGTTTTAATGTCATAAATTCATCATATTCTGTTGCCTAAATCAGAAAATATTACCAAAAAAGATTTTTTTGTGATATTAAATATGAAAAATGAATTTATTACTAATTAATGTCGTTTTTCTTTAAATACATTTTTTCTTTATAATTTCATAATATATATATATATATATATAGTTAAAATCTGGACATTTATTATGAGCATAAATATGAAAACGATTTCCCATTAAAATCGGCCATTTATTAGGGTCATTATTATGAAAGATTATTTACCATTAAAATAGGTAACTTATTTGTAATTAAAGAAACATTAAATGGAATTGTTATAGCAATTATACTCAAAAGATTCGTTTGTTTTTATTACAATATTCCTTAAATCTCTTATCCTAGATCCGAATAGGATTAAACCGGGTAAAACCCGGATCCAAAAGAGTTTATGCAAAAATCCCTTGTAAAAATGTATATGTAGATGGAAAAGTGGTTTACTTAAAACCAATGATCGGTTAA